TTTCTGCTCTCGCAAATCCATGGCAAAAACCCGTACCTGCGACAACAGTGTTTCAAATTTGCCGCCAAATGCGGGGAAACTTGAAACCTCGATATTATTCGGTATTTCGTCGTCGGGGATAATCGTAAACGAACATCAGTTCAAAGTATGGAACTAGTTCCATACTTCAAAATGTCATAGGTTATTTTTAAGGATTTCAGACTTTTTTCCCGTCAAACTTTGGTTGTTTTTACATGTTTATTGTCGGAAGCTTCAAGATGATGAACATTATGAGAACTCTGAGACATTAGAGGGGTCAGATATTAAAAAGCCTTCGAAACTCATATGTGTACCGCATTTTTTTTAAAGTTCACAAAATACAATGTGAAAAGGTTTTAAAACTCATTCACACAACATCTTTTTATTGACGAACAAACCAAAAAAAAATGAACAGCTTGAAGCGTGTGACATAGGAGAGCATTACTGTGAAACCGAACGGACCCGAAGATCAGTTGACCCGGTCGGGATGATGTGACGTCATTCTGGAGTATGGAGATGAGTGCGAACCCCAGAGATGAAACGCTTTATGAGGATAAAGATTACGACAATACTTTCAAAAAGTCCTTGAGAAGGAAGTGTTCGAACGTTATCTTTGTTACTGTTGAAATTTGCAGTGCCAGTTATATAATTTTTTGTTGTTGAATTGGTACCTCTTAGGAATTGAAATGAATTTGGGACACGTCCATAAAACAAGATTCTGGTACCTCATAGGAGAATTCTCTAAATTTTTTCGACGAGCACCCCCGTCACTTTTATAGGGGAGCACCCCCCGGGGAATGTATCTACCGATGCGATTGAGAATATGCGTTCTTCTTTTAAACGATTGTTAGTTCCAAATACGTCAAAAGCTTATTCAGGTGTTTTATTATAATGGGATCCAGAATTAGGATGCCAGCCAACTAATCAGGTGTTGTATTGCAACTGGATAAAGCAGGATCAAAAATGAAAGTCAACCAGATTATCACCAGCTTTCCGTCTGCAAAACAAATGCTCCCTCTAAAAGAGCAAATCGTTCGATGGCAGGGCATTTCGAATTGTAATTAAACGAAACCTAACTTAGAGTTTGTACTTAGCCGAAAAGATGTTTAAAATTATGTGTTTATCAAAAACAAATAAGGGAACGATAAAATACTTAGACTTGCATTGTACCCAGGAAGTAGACACACTTAATCACAAGGCAAATAAATCGCTTTCATTGATCCGAAACCTCGTCTTTCGGAGACAGTCAAGTTTAAATCAACTTACCTTAACGATGAAGTAGAATAGTCTTCCTAGTCTGTGGGTAAATTAGGGAAAATCAAAGTAATTTCGCATGCTAAGCAGCCTCACAGAAACCGTGGCGGAGAGGGATCTCAGCTTATATTACTATGCGCTATAAATAACACCTTACGTAACGGAGGACTGGGTGTAGTGGTGGGGGGTGGGGAGAGAGGGGGAGGGGCGGTCTTAACCATAACGTTGGGCTGCAGGATCGAATCATGGGTTGCGACTTGGAACACCGCCTTACGGCCACCAGTGTTATTACGGCCAATATTTTTTAGCCGCTTAACGAAACGGCCATACATTTTCTTGTAAAAAAAAAAAACCCTCGTTAATACGGTGACCCGTTAATTTGGCCCACTGGTGACCGTATTAACGGGGTTCCACTAGCTTTATATATAACTATTGAGTTTTTGTCTGATAAAAATTAACGCATTTTGAAGCTGTCTTTTGCACTGACTGGTCTATCCTTTCTTCCGTAGTTTGTTTCAGAAATTAGATAACGCCATTCCAATATGAATCGCAGCTGTGATAATTTGTGTTTTGGGTGTTTAGTTAGAGTTAGCCAAAACTTAAAATTCCTATATTGTGCTTCGGTTTTCATTGGGCCTGTTTCAGCCCTACATGCATTGTTGCTGCAGTATTTATTTACACCTAGCAACCATTTCAAGAATTTAATTTGAACTAGTTCTGCGGGATCTTTTTCTATTTGGTCGTTACAGTCAACACCCCAAATTTCACTTCCGTAGAGAAGTATGGGGGATATNCTGCAGTATTTATTTACACCTAGCAACCATTTCAAGAATTTAATTTGAACTAGTTCTGCGGGATCTTTTTCTATTTGGTCGTTACAGTCAACACCCCAAATTTCACTTCCGTAGAGAAGTATGGGGGATATTAGAGCATCGAATAGCTTAATCGTCAGCATAATATTTTCTCTAAAGTTGTCACCAATCTCTTTCCTTAGTTTATAAAGTGCCTTAAGCCCAACTTTTTTTAACTCTTCTCTAGCTAAACTAAAATTTCCATACGGGTCCAGTGTCATTCCCAGATATTTATAAGATTTAACATTGTTTAGTTTATTTACTCCCATACTTAAACGAGTAGTTATTTAAGGAATTGCCACAATTATTACAGATAATGACTTTTGTTTTGTCTAGATTTACAGTTAGTTCAGTTTTCTCATAGTAGGATTCCAACTTGTTGAGCAGTGTTTGTAGGCCATTTGCTGACCGCGAAAAGATCACTAAGTCATCCGCATAATTATAATAAACAGTTTATAGGTCTTTCAGAGTCATCAAGCAGAATATCGGTTGAGCTTGATGAATTTAGAAATTCGGGTAGATCCGTTAGATAGAGATTAAAAAGGTGGGTGATAACATACTGCCTTGCTTAACTCCCGTGTAACACGGAAAAGCTTCGGTCATTTTGTTGTTGATTTTGACTTCTGATTTATCTTTTGAGTACATGAACATTACTATTTCTAAAAAACGCCCTTTAATTCCTTCTTTTCTGAGTTTTTCGAATAATTTTTTCCTGGGTATGCGATCAAAAGCTTTTCTAAAATCTACAAAACACGAGAAAAACAATTTTCTGCGTTTTTGTGGTTTAGATTTAACAAACTTATCTATGAGTGTTTTTAAGATGAAGATGCTATCTACTGTACCGTGCCTTTTTTTAAAGCCGCGTCTTGTTCTGCTTTTAGAATTCCTTTTTTGGTCATGTAATCATACAATCGATCATTGAGGATGGATGTGAAGAGTTTACCTGATGCAGAAAGCAACGTGATGCCTCGGTAGCCAGTTTCAGCTTTTGATCGATCATCCTTTTTATGTATAGGGACGATGAGGCCAAAACTCCAAAGCGTAGGATTTTTACCTGAACTTAAAATACGATTGAATAATTCTAGTAGATGACCTTTTATGATATCTTTCCCCGTTTTTAGCACTTCATTTAATATTTTATCACACCCTGGGGCTTTGTTTAATTTCAGTTTTTTGTTTGCGAAATCAATTTCTTCTTCCGATATTGCATAGTCTAGGGGGCCTGCCTCTTCCTCCAGTATCTTCTAGATCTGTCTGGTCGCCGTTCGTTGGAGCCGCGTTTTGTTGTTTGAAGTATTCATAAAACTGTCCCGCACTTACTGTTTCGGTTCCATGTGGTTGCCGTTTTCTAATATTAAAGATTTTACCTATCTGTTTCCAGGTATCTTGAGGATTACGGAGGTCAATATCGCCTATACTCTTACTGACAAACTCTCGTTTTTTCCGTCTGCATGTCCGTTTAAAATTCTTCTTTTTGTCTTGTAAAAGGTGCCTCAGCTGGAAATTATTTGGTTCCTGAGAAATTTGTTCCCCAAGGGATTTCAGGTTTTCTTTTTCAGTTTCGCATTCCAGATCGAACCAGTTATTTTGTGGCATGGCTTTAGTTTTGTTACGTTGGACTTTCAAGCCGGCTTTTTTACATGCTTCCACCAGAGTTTCACTAAATAATTCAGCTGCAGTGTCAACATTATCGTTTCTTAAGGCCGCTTGCGGTCTAGACTAAACTATTTGTGATTCCAGATACTCTTTTAACTTATTCTTCAATTTGGTATCCCATAATAGTCTATTATGTTCAGACAAGGTGCATCCGTTCGAGCAGCTAGAGGAAACTGGACTGCCGGCTAGAATAGCTTTAATAGCATAAGTCACATGACAATGGATGTAGACGTGGCAAACACACCCGGGGCCGGGCAAACACAAAGCAGCTTTCCGGGCCCGAAAAGTTACCGAAGAATTCCCAGGAGTACACCCCTCCCTCCGGGTTTTGCGGGAAAAGTCCAATATCCACCGGTCTCTCCAATTTGTCACGCTACAGCCTCGTTTCCAAGACTTTGTAGTGACGTCACGTCACATGTTGTCACGCTAACTTCTTCTGTGCAGCTCGACTCAAGGACAACAAAATGAGGACGATTGTTAGCTTCACGAGTGCATTGACCTTACATTATATTGTCTCACTGATTTCATCTGTGGTACTGTGTAGTTCTGGCTGTTTCCACGGACCTTCTCTGCCTAACAAACCATTTATAACCGTATGGAACACACCTACAGATCAATGTAAACCAAAATGGAATGTTTCTTTAGATCTGAGTGCTTTTGACATCGTGGTGAACAAAGACCAGAAGTGGTGTGGGGAATATATCGTTATATTCTACGACACACAACTTGGATTTTATCCGTATTTTGACAGCAATGGAAAAGCTTTCAACGGTGGTGTACCTCAGGTAGTGGACTTGTTATTGTAGTAGAGTTGCAGGGTTTTTTTTTGGGTTTGCAACTACGTGACAACGTGACAACGGAGAATTTGAGAAAAAAAAAATAAAATAAAAAGTTAAGATACAAGCGGAGGGAAACGCTTTTGTTTTTCGGCAACCAAAGTGGCACTGGCAGTCATGTCGTCACCTGCAAACTTGCAGCAGCCAAATTGACAAATCATTAATTTCACAAAGACTTATGCCATTGAAAAGGAGAAGTAGAGGTTACTAGGCACTAAGCTTTTCCCTTGCAACTCTACTGCCTGGTTAGCTCAGTTGGGAGAGTAGCCTGCAGCTATTGCAGGCGTATTTTGGAAGGACGAAAGCTGCTTGTTTATGTTCCTATTGTTGCATGTAGTCCTGATCTTTAATTTTATGACAGAGGAAGATTGGGGAGAGCAGAAATAGCAACCCTTGGGGTAGGTGCTATGGAATTTCTGCAAGCAAAAACATTTGCATGTGCGAAGAAAATGCTTTCAATGCAGGCTATTGGGAGAGCACGAGTCTGCCAAGCAGGAGGTTGCGTTCAAACCACTCAGGGTCTTTAAATTTTATAACTGAGAAGAAAGTGCTGCCCTTGTACACAGGAAAAAATAACCGGTTCCCATTTTTGGATATTTTAGGGAATTTAAAGAATACCCACAAAAATCCCAAATTTGGAAGAATGAGACAAGTCCCAATCAGGGAACTTGGTTGGGAATTCCCTGGTTGGGACTTGTCTCACTNACAAATCATTAATTTCACAAAGACTTATGCCATTGAAAAGGAGAAGTAGAGGTTACTAGGCACTAAGCTTTTCCCTTGCAACTCTACTGCCTGGTTAGCTCAGTTGGGAGAGTAGCCTGCAGCTATTGCAGGCGTATTTTGGAAGGACGAAAGCTGCTTGTTTATGTTCCTATTGTTGCATGTAGTCCTGATCTTTAATTTTATGACAGAGGAAGATTGGGGAGAGCAGAAATAGCAACCCTTGGGGTAGGTGCTATGGAATTTCTGCAAGCAAAAACATTTGCATGTGCGAAGAAAATGCTTTCAATGCAGGCTATTGGGAGAGCACGAGTCTGCCAAGCAGGAGGTTGCGTTCAAACCACTCAGGGTCTTTAAATTTTATAACTGAGAAGAAAGTGCTGCCCTTGTACACAGGAAAAAATAACCGGTTCCCATTTTTGGATATTTTAGGGAATTTAAAGAATACCCACAAAAATCCCAAATTTGGAAGAATGAGACAAGTCCCAATCAGGGAACTTGGTTGGGAATTCCCTGGTTGGGACTTGTCTCACTATGCCAAATTTGGGATTTTTATGGGTATTCTTTAAATACCCTAAAATATCCAAAAATGGGAATCCGTTATTTTTTCCTGTGGTAATGACATCTGCAAACTGTTAGACTTTCTAGTCTTCTCAAAACCATAGGTCCAGTCTCACAGCACTTTCACTTACACTGTATCTGGTTCTTGTGAGAACCCATGTATCACTGTTCGAAAAGAGTGACGGGACATAGAGATCAGTGGGATGACCAACCTTTCCTGGACTGGGTGGGTTATCTGTAAGGAGAGATCTTAATATAGCGATTCCACCTTTAGGAGTCGCAATGGCTACCTACAGTAAACAGTGTAACTGTACATGATGTATGTGTGTGCCAACTTTAAGGTACACATGTCCTTTTTTTTTCTTTTTATGTGACAGCTTGGAAATCTTACAGCACACTTATTAAAAGTAGAGCAAGATGTAGCAAATATCATTCCTGATAATGAATTTCAAGGTATTGGTGTAATTGACTGGGAATACTGGAGACCTGTGTTTGACAGAAACTGGGATAAACTTTCCATCTATAGGTCTGTCAGAATTTTGTTTTGTCTTTAAATAGTTGAACACTTTGATTGTTGAACCTCTATATTGGGTCTTTCCAAAGAAATCAAAGTCACGACAATTGCTGTTGATGAAGCAAAGATCTTAGGGATTAAAGCACGGATCACATTGCTATTCCAATCAAGACTGGTAAAAAATCTGCCCAAAAATTGTGCTGCATGATCAGAGTTTTTGCTTTGCTTATTAAAACTGTTGCTTTCTTGATTTTCTCGTTTCCAATACGTTGTGGTTGCACTAAGCTCACTAGTAGCATAATTTACCACGCAAAATTTGTTCTCGATATTATTGAATATTTCACCCGAAAAAAAGCTAATTTGATGGAAAGCACGTGACAAAATTGGCATCCACAGGTACCCATAGTCTCCGAGTAATGTCCATAAGATGTACAGATTATAATTAGATTCTATCTGAACCAAAACAAAAAGAAGTCACTTCTTAAAGTTATTAATTTTAAACAGGTTAAGTGAAAACGGTCAAATAAAAGTGTTTATCAGAGAAGATCAAGATTAATTTGAATTTTTGGTGTTATTGAGATCTTGTTACTGCAACACCTAATTCCATGTCCTTGCATGAGACCAACCTACAAACCTTACGTGAATAATTTACAGAACTTTATGAATGACTGATTGATTGAATGAATGAATGATTGATTTATTTATCTAAAATCAGAATCAATCAATCAAAATCAAACTCATTCATTCCATCAATCAATTGATTCGATGGAATGAATTAATGAATGAATGAAAAGAAAGAAAATGATTATTTTATGATCAAATTTGTCCTTGTTAATTCTGAAGTTGGGTATAAACAGGCACTAGCACTTGAGTGATGCAAAATGATAATTACAAAATTGATTATTTTTCAATTCATAGGAACAAGTCTATGGAACTGGTCAAACAGAGACACCCTTTGTGGCCAGATAGTTTAGTTGAAGACATAGCTAGAGTTGAGTTTGAAACAGCAGCCCGAGAATTCATGGAAGAAACTTTGCTGCTTGTTCAGAAACTTCGCCCAAAGTCCTTGTGGGGATTTTATGGATTTCCAAATTGTTACAATGACAAAGATGCTGACAATTGCAGTCAAGTCACCATGAAGTACAATGATCAAATTTCTTGGTTGTTTGAGTGGAGTTCAGTGCTGTTTCCATCAATATATCTTCACGACAAGGCAAAACTGAATGGCACATTGTTTGTGAAGTACAGGCTTCTGGAAAGCTTTAGATTCGCTAAGAAGTTGGATGGAAGCCCCATTCCTGTGTTCCCGTATGTTCGAATAACATATGCAGTATCTCAGGTGTACCTCAATGTGGTAAGTCAATTAATGTTTATCCTCAGCAGTATTTTTATATGAGCACTAGTGCTTAGCGAGGTTAGGTAAATGCCTGAAACAAATAATTTCAATCAAACATGATGGTGTTAAGACCCCAACTCGCCTAAGGCAAACCAGCTGGCTACATTGTATTTACAAGTATAGTCGAGGATTGAACTCAGGACAACCAACAGGTTGGGATTCACACCAGTTTCCACCCTTTTACGGAAATCAGTCAGATTTTTCATAATAAATATGTTTTTAACAATAATAGAACTTTTCAAGTTGAAATCTGGAAAATGGTCTGGACAAAAAAATGTTCTCTTTTTCCAGTTTCTGAACATTAGATGTGCCCTCAATAAATCTGAAACCTGGGAAAGAGAACTTCCAAAATAAATTCCCAGAGTTAAATTCCCCCGGGCTCCCCTAGAAGCTTGCTTCCTCTGCCCCTCATTCATAGGAAATCGGTCAGTATTGATCCCAGATCCTCACCTGACCAATTAGGAACAAATCCAGCTAGTGGTCATGGAGGGATTTGAATGTGGGGCCTCTGAATTGCAAGTCCAGCGATTAAACCACTTGGTCATGGTGTCTCCTAATTAATTGTGAAGAACTAGGGAAATTTTACACCAGAAAGCCCACAACAAATTTCGAGAGCCTCCAGGTGAAAATTAGACCGCAAGCGGTTGTCCTTCTTTCCTCAGAGCCACCCACAGTGAGCGAAAAGCTAAAATAATGTCCTCACATTCTGCAGTGTCTCAAAAGAAAAACATCAAGAAACTGCTCGCCGTCTACATGTAGGTGAAAATTGAATGCATGACCCTTCAAGTGCTAAATTGGAGCCTTTAACTACTGAGCTATACACTGTGCATATACTGGAGTCTCTGGGCCTATCATGCCTTCTTAGGATTTGCTGTATGGGTACACAGATTAAAACCATAATTATGATAAATTCTCTTTGATTGTAAATTTTAGCGGGACTTGTTTGGCCAAGATGGGTAGCTGTTGGCTTCAATTTTTTTTTCTTTGTACTTGTTTTTATTGGCCTTGATGACATATTTTAAAAAAACTTGGCCTGTATCCAGGCCTTGGCCAATATTGCATAATTATGTGCATGTGTCAATATTGCTTCATGCTTATAAAGTCCATTTCATAAATGCATGTATAAAATAATGTTAATGAAATAATGTTCATGGCTGAAGGATCAATGTAGAAAGTTGCTGCACTACATTGTCTTGTGGACCAGCAGTTTTTTCCCCATACAAACCCTTACAATCTTATAGTCTTTTGTGCAAATCACCTAGTCAAAATTGGCTTTCCAGCGCCATAATATTAATTTCTTTTCGTATGACATTGTCGGTGAGTTGCAAACAGCCTACTCCCAGCAGCCAGGTTGCTTGCTCCACCTGCCCCCTCCTTCCAAAACACACCCGCTCCACCACTTTCAAGGTATAGCATTGTTATTGTTGTTATCTAATTGACAGGGTGATATAATGTCAACAATACTACAGTCTGCAGAACAAGGAACAGCTGGGGTTGTAATCTGGGGAGACCACCATTCTGAGGCCACCAAAACTGACTGCATTGAATTAAAGAACTACATTGACAATTTTCTGGGACCTCTTGTTAAAAGCATCACCAGCATAGCGCAGAATTGCAGTCAGGAGTTTTGCAATTTACATGGAAGGTGCAAATTTCAGTTAAATCCTGATTTATATTTCAAAGCGTCAAGTCTTGAGGTTAACCTAGACTTTTTGTCTGATCAATGGAAATTTTTGAGCTGTCGTTGCTATAGTGGATGGAGTGGAGAAGACTGCAGGCATCACCTTTAAGTGTAAACAAATACCAAATTAATTATGAAATCAATAAAATTTGCTCAAGACAGAAAGGTTTGTTTTTTTGTGTTTTATTTTTATCCTGGGTTGAAAAATTAAATTTAAGACAGTATCTGCCAGGAAATTGAGTAATTTTAATTTTCAGTGGACAAAAACCTTATACCAGAAAAATTTAAAGAATATTGCATTCTTTTTAGAATTTTTCAAGGGCTTAAGACGTAATAAATCATCTGTAGTAACACCAAAGAGAATTTCTTGTGGAAGTCGAGAAAATGAATGTCAAATTTCACAAGAATTGTGATTACACATGAAAAATTCTGAAAATTTCATGTGTAAGAAGTAATTCTGTGAAATTTGACATTCATTTTCTCGGCTCCCATGAGAATTTTTTTTTTTACTGTTAGTACAGACGATTTATTACATCTTGAGCCCTTGAAAAATGTAAGAAAGAATGCAATATGCTGTAAATTATTCTGGTACAAGATTTTTGTCCACTGAAAATCAAAATTACTCAATCAATGTCCTAACGGCCCCCCTTATAGCAGTGGTAGATCTGGGGGAAATTACAAAGGCCAACCACCTTTCCTCACCCTAATTTTTTAAGCAAAACAATTCTTTCAAGACCCCTCCCTTCCCTCCCCCACTAGGGTCTGAAAGAGCCTTTTCCCCGTTGTCTCCGGTTCTGCCAGATGCTCTACTGGATGGAGCACAAATCTGATGTTTTAAAAACCACACACTTCAGTGAACATAAATTTTACTGGAAACATTTCTATTGATCTTCCAGTCTAACATGGTTGGAGTATTTGATGTACATTGTACATGGTTTCCTAATGATATCAGCTTATCCAGGGTTCATACAAAAAATTGCAACTAGGAATACAATTTCACAGATTGTACAAAAATGTACATTCCCAGTCTATTCTAATAAGGCTTTAAGGCTTGAACTGTTTGCTTCACCAACTTCTCTACATTTTTTAGTTCACTTCTCTTGAATTGATAGTTAAT